TGGGGAAGAGCATACCTGTTCCAGAAGTAGTGCTGACCCCCCACTAGTGTGCTTTATTATATCCCAATGGGGCATGCATGCGAGCAGCTTGTAGTAGCTTGTGGGTAATGTAATTCAATAGAGTAATGTGAGATGCACGTTCCCCAAGTGATTTACAACTTGTATTGGTGTGAATAGTAGTTAGATATGGATCAAATGGTAATAAAACATTAAAATGTAATTATAAGTAGATGTATACTGTTATGAACTTAGAGTTACTTAGGATAAACAAATGTAGTTTTGTGTTATAATTTGAAGTCATTCCCCACAAAAATTTTTGGGTGTGGTTACAAGGTTGGTGAAATTGATAGTTTCTGTATAGAAAGACTGCCAAATTTTGTGAAGATATACACACTATATTGACAGTTAAAAGTATTAAATCTATAAAGACAAAACAAGTACAAAGAGGTCACGTGGTTGATCGAGCCTATGTCAAGAGAGTTAAAATGAAAATTACATTGTGCTCACATGGACTTGGTTAAGGCCTCATAAGTTCACAAATAAATCTTTAGTAGAAATAATCTATTTTAAAAAATCTTGATTTTTTGTGAACAACAGACTAATGTTTACTTGCTAAATTTTGTGAAGGTAACATATTACATTCAAAGTTATAGTATCTATAGTTTAATAGTCATTTTGACTGACCTCATAATCACCAGGCAACTGAGCCCATATATGAGAGATCAAAGGATTTTATGTATATATATGTGTGTGTGTGGGTTAGAAAAGTTATAAGTTAGTGACGACTGACTGTTTCCTGTGTTGTGGGAAACTTCAATATTACATTAAGTGGTGTGACATAAAAGTTTTATGAATCCCTTTACACCAACCTACACTCAACTAAGACCATAGCTTTGACATCAGCAACCCCTGGAACTCTACCAAATTTTAAAGAAGCCTGGTAACCAATAATGGCTCATCCTAGTGTAAGTTATTATGTAACTGATTATAGAAAACTTTAAAAAAGAAGACTCATGTACTCTAAAACTTAATATCAACATTCTCTGTATGATAGAACTAAAACCCATAATGTTTCTACTAATAAAAACTGGGTAACCTACAAAGAAAAAGCCCATTTAATTCTTTTTTATTATGTATTATTGTAAACTTAAGCTTGGTTGTTTTGTACTTTCTCTATTTTTAGGAAGCTTATGACATTTTTGATGGCTTTGTGATCCTCCATGGGACAGATACACTAGCTTACACAGCATCTGCTCTCTCCTTTATGCTGGAAAATCTTGGAAAAACTGTCATACTAACTGGATCTCTGGTTAGAAGCTTGCTTGACTTTTGTAAATTTTTGAGCAATTTACGAGTACACTTGTTAAAACATTTCCTTTGAGAGTGTGTGTGTGTGTGTGTGTGTGTGTATCTATGTTAAATTTTAGAACAGTTTACCCTGTAACCTTTTTGAAACCGATATCATGTTTAAGGCATATGGCATCCAGGTTTACATTTTTTTTTGTCTGAACTCTCGTATCAAATAACCCTACAAAATAAACCTGCAAGATAAATGTTCTGATTTATCAAAAAAAATTTGAAGCAGATGGTGGGAAAGTGTAAAATTCAAATAGCTGCCTTTTTGCTTTACAACTTCCAACCTTCTAAAACTAACAGTTGAAAATTGTTAATTATTATGCCAGAAGCATTTCTTAATTACATGCTTTAAAATAATCTAAGTATAGCTTGGTGTTATATTTTTTAATGCATTGCAACGAATAATAAACTAACTAATTGGTTCTTCTGCCTGTTTGTTAATTTTTTTGAAGTAATTATTTTGGCTGTTCATCTTGCAGTGGGTGGGCTTCATCCTGGCATGAAAAACTACTACATCTTAAGTGTGTAGAAATAAAAAAAAAATATCCAATCCATTTTCAGCACTAAAAATCAAAAACTTAAATCACAGCATGAGCAACTTCTTTTTGGTATTAAGGTTATACTTGTACGCCATTATCAAGAAACCTGTAACTTCTTTTTGGTATTAAGGTTATACTTGTACACCATTATCAAGAAACCTGTAACTTCTTTTTGGTATTAAGGTTATACTTGTACACCATTATCAAGAAACCTGTTTATCTGGATTCATATCATATGGAATATTGTGTAACATTTTTAACAAATATTTAAGCATCAGGACACTGAATGGTATAATACATTATGAAGTTTATCTGTCTTGTTTGTAAGTACTTTGTTTCTAACACCTTTTTACTACTCTGAAAAATGTACTACACAACAAGATTTTGTAATCAAACATATAGAAAAGAAAAATAAATTGTATTCGAAAGAAAAACTTTCAAGTTGTTCAACATCTCGCAATTAGCGATATTTACATATCTCACACTAAATATTAACTTTTTTCCTGTGTAGATTCCACTGTATGAGCCTCGCAGTGATGGCCGTGAGAACTTCTTGAACTCTTTAATAATAGCAGGAAATCACTGCATTCCTGAGGTAGTTTCTAAGATTATTTGTTGTAGAGTAAAAAAAAGTTGTTTTAACTCTGAAACAGTTAATGAAAATAAACTTTTGTTGTTGTAAACAGTTGCTGTACTATTGTAGTGTGATGGAGTAATGCATCACAAAATGTAATTTTCCAAAAGATACATTACTTTTTGAGTCACTGATGAATAAGACTTTTTTCTTCTTTCTTTTTTTTAAAGTTTAGCATAACACGTCTAAGTAAGTAATAACGTTTCAGTAATTATCTTAGTTTTCTATTTCATGAACGTAATGTAGTTTTTTATTAAAACAATGAAATAACGTGCATATGTTTGTAAAACAAGAATTGTGTTTGATAATTTATAGCATTTAGATCTAGATGTAACTTTTTTAGGTATCTGTGATGTTTAAAAACCACCTGTTCAGGGGAAATCGCTCAAGTAAAATCAGTTCAAACAGTTTTAAAGCTTTTAGTTCTCCCAACATGATGCCACTTGCTACGGTTGGAATGAATATTAATAGTAGGTATTTTTTTGTATAGTTGTTTATTGTAATATAGTGAATTTACTGTAAGACTGATTTTATTTTTTACCAATAATGCTAGTACTTGTAACTTTTTAAATTTTATTCTTTTACTTCTTTTCGTAAGGATTTAAGTTTTAAATATATGTATATATATATATGCTAGCTGTAATTAAAAATTACTTTTCAGAATATTGATAAAATGTTACGAAACCTAAGCAAGTTAAGAAATATGATGTGTATGACAAAATTACTTTGGTATGTTTTCTTTCTTTCTTATTTTTGACAGATGAGAAACATGTTTTAAAACCTAAACAAATTTAGAAAATTCATGTTTACAAAAAATTACTTTGATACTATTTTTATTTTATTTTTAGTACATTGGCAAAATGTCTTCAAACCTACGAAAATTGAGAAATTTCGAGTTCATGACAAACTTAACTGTAATGTTGGCCTCTTGCGACTCTTCCCAAGCATTACAGTGGAAGTGGTAAGTTTTAAGTTATGTTTCAATAGTAAAGTTAGAAGAAAACTACCTTCACAGTTTTATGTACTAGCTCTGAAGATGTTGGAATGTCAGTTAAAATAAAAAATTCTCTTATAATTATCTGGGGTGTAAGAGTTGTTTTTTTTTCTAACTTTATTATCAAAACATGTAAATCTCTCCAGTATTCACTACAGATTTTGAAAGACAGGCTTTGAAAGTAAGTATTGTAAATGAATAAAAATAGAATCATGTGAGTGTATAATATTAAATTACTATGATTTCATTGTATACAAAATATTGAACTGCATATTCTAAATCTTGATAAAATGTGTTTAATTTTGGATTTTTTTTATGCTCAGAAGTAAATAACTTCAAACATACTAAATACAATAATACTAAAAATACTAAATAAAATACATTTTATAATTTAACTGTAAGAAGGTAGTAATCTGAAATATTTGTTGAAATTTAGTTTGAATAGTTCAGTATGTTACGAGATTTAAGTTCGAAAGATAGATCTTAGTCTTTTCTGTAATGATTTAGAGACAATTTAGTGACAAGTCTCCATATTTGAGCCAATAATAGCTTCTAGCATTCTTAGTATTTTATCTTTTTTTTTAATATTATTTAGTAAGTTTTTAGAGCAAAATTATTTTTTACTGTTATGAACATAATGTTATCAATTGTATTTCTATGTTTCTTAAATTTTTTTTTAATCAACAACAGAAATTGAAGCTTTAAAAACATTTATTTTAAGATTATGTTTGTGTATATGGTTTTTCAAATACCTTTTATCCAATGTTGATAACAGAGATTTGAAGAATAACATTGATGTATAAACTCAGGTAACTTGTGCTGAGTAAATATATTCCAAAGATAAGAAGCCTAGTCTTGTTCTTTGGTTTGACCTAATTTAGGGTTATCGTTGAAAGTCTGGATTTCCTGAAACCAATCTAATACAACAACATTTGTCAAATTTGCTGTTTAGATGAAGTTTAACCTTAATAGTGTCTACTTTTGATACTTCAAATACAGCATTGAATATCAAAATGCCTTAATTAAAAGACATCAACAGAAATATTAATTTTCTTTTACACACACACAATAGTAGAGAAACGTGGCCATAGTAGGTTTGGAAAATTTTCCTGGATTTTAATTTTAATTTCTAAATAGGTTCGAGCTTTTATGATGCCTCCTATTGAAGGTGTTGTATTACAGACTTATGGAGTAGGAAATGGTCCTACTAGTAGAAAAGACTTGTTGGATGTGCTGAAACAAGCTACTCTTCGTGGTGTGATAATCGTTAACTGCACACAGTGTAATAGTGGACTTGTTGATCCAGCATATGAGACAGGAAGTGCAAGTATTTTTTTCATATTTTTCTCTATTACAACTGTATGATTGGTGGTCAGTATTTTCAAATCTTTCCTAAGAAAATCATTTCCAAAATTAAAAATACTGTGATAGTTTTCAAAACTATTACAGCAGGCCTCAACAAATATTTTCAGATCTACAAGCCAGCTGAAAAAGTCGGGAACCAGGTGTGCCTCACCTAACTTCACTACTGTTTGTACCGGGAAATGGGGGGCTATACTAGTGTCCCAATTATCCGCACCTCCATTATCTGCGATTCTTGATTTACTGCAGTTTTTTTATTTTCCCCAATTTTTCTCAAAGTAATTGTGTCATTGTAATTTGAAACAATAGTTTACATGTTTTGGAGAAATTGTTGCTCAGAAATTTATTTTGGTTGAAAAAATTCAGGTGTTGCATGATATCTGGGGTTTTTACATATAGGATCTGCCTTTCCTCTTTTATTTTTAGTTGTTAAGACAGGAATACAAAATATTTCATGGTACCTTTACCCTTCAGCATATGATATATATCTTTCTTAAAACAGTAAGTGGTGTTAAGCTTACATTTCACAACTATGGGCATGAAGTTAGGAGGTGAGAACATGAAGAAAGATATATTGGCTTAGTATAAGATGACAGCTCGGTTGAAGGCTGAATGAAAGATGGATGTAGTTATTTCAGATTGAGGTAAATTTCTATTGAAATCTAAACCGACATTATCCAAATGAAGAAAAATTGAGTAGGGTTGTAACAAAATATTATAAAGTTTAATCTGATCATAAAACTGCTTAAATTCATGATTTCAGTTGGATATTATATTGCTAAAAAATTTCAGTTTAGAGTGACGTTAAAAAGTCATATAAGGATCTTGGTTATGGATTTGAAACTATGTTTATATGAATGCTTATCACAAAGTTGGCTAATCTAAAGATACCTCAAAGTAAATTTGAACCAGTGTGTCAAAAAAGTCTTGAATAATGAAATAAAAAGCATTGAACATATTTTAACTTTTTTACAGTTGTTCACTTTCCCTAAAACTGTGGATCAATTTTGTGAGCTCCTTTGCCCATCACCAGTTGATGAGTCATGAGAGTTGTAGCACATCTTATTTCTATATGTATTTAAAATAACATATTTAATTATCACTTTCTGCTGTTTCTTATGAATAGGGACAGGTTATGCTTATCAGAATTTGCTGTTATCTGAAATTAAACTAGCCTTTCTTAAAAGCTGAAGAATGTTTTTTCAGTTGGGACTTGTTTAGTATAATTGCAAGTGTAATTTAGATACAAAAACGTGTTTCAATAACTCTATACATCTTTTGATAAGTACAATTCCCATTGGACAAAGAAGTCGTTAACTTTCCATAAAAGTATTCTGTTCTGTGTATGTCACAAGGTTTTACTGAGTTACATTCAAAATTTAATTAAATTACTTTAATATCATATCAAATAACCTTGGCATCAAATCAAAGCTAATAAATCATATTTTAATATTATTTAAGTTCTAAATTATCTAAGAAAATATTAGAAACAAGATCCTGAATCTTTCCTAATATGAAAATGCTGTCATTTGCTCTGTAGGTTTTCCCTCCTTTCTAAGTTATTTACCATCCCTCTGAAAAGTACAGAATTTAACGTAAATTACTCAAAACATAGCTATTACTCAGGCAAAGTATAATTTTTACAGCCTTCTATCTTATTTGGTTACGGAGCCATAAACTAGAAAATCAGACCCTTCTTGCCATGCCCACCTGTCACATTCTCTCTCATTCACAAATTGCCAGTAGATCTCTCTGATGTTTAATACTATATTATTTATAACCAATAGAAAGTCAATGTTTTAATCTACCAAATGACATATTATAGTACATTGTTTTCTGTACAGAGAATTGCCTATTTTGCTTCCAGTGCAAACTTTATTCCCATGGGAAGCACATCAATGAGCTTAGCTGACGTTTTAACATCTCTTATTGCAAAGTTAGAAAGCCAGAAAAATTATGATAGTTATTGGACATTGTTTGCTTTTTACATTATATTTTGTGTTCTTAGGTGCATTATTTAATTAAATAAAAAATTATTTAGTGCAGTAGTACTATTAGTATTGAAAAAAAAAAGTAGGGCTAAGTTTCATTGACAGTCAAAAGTAAAAAAAAAACACAAAGACCCAAGTAAGTACCATATATACTATATTTCCTGTTTTTCATGTGTATTCGTTATTTGTTATTATAAAAGTAACTAAAATTTAAAAATTAGAAATTTATTATGTTAGATAAAGGTAGATTAAGTAAAATAAAGAAAAATAATAATTATAAATTTTTTTTCATGAAGTATGCTTTGCAAGTAACCTGTGCTCTGTGTAATTTGATATGGTAATGTGAGCTACTCGTTTGCCAAATGATTTACAACTTGTGTGGTGTTATTATTAGTTAGACATAGTTCATAGGTTAATAATAAAATTCAAACATAAACAAATGTATACTGTTACGAGCT